AGACTAAACGACAGACAGACTAAACGACAGACAGACTAAACGACAGACAGACTAAACGACAGACAGAAGTTTCTCCACCAACCAATTTTTTGGTATCAACTCGATACCGAAAAATTGGTACTCTCAAGAACTCCCAAAACGTGATTTCTGACTACACCACGTGTTAGAGGAAGTAATTAACTACAAATAGGAACGCGATATACTTCAATACAAGGATCTCAAGGCGAGTTTTTCGTTCGAAATTCGCTGCTTTATGCCATTCTTTAGTACATAGGAAGGCAAGAAAGTAAAATACTTTTTGGCATCAGGCACCTCCAAACCTTTTTTGCATTGAAATACTGAATTCGATTTTCCGCAGAATCACATAAGTTTATCTTTAGTATGTATTTATATATAACGCCGAATATAATCCGCATTACTCCGTACGTATAGGGGAAAGTAAAATCTATTAAACAAGAATTAAAACATTTTTATGCATACGCGGTCTTTAATATGATTTATAACATTGAATCTGTGTATCTGAACAACGTTTGACACCAATCGTTTCCACAGCAACAATGCCTACAAAGTTATTTGAAAATTAAAATGTTTCATCTACACATATAAAAACTACAACTAAACAATATTTTCAAAATTAAGTGACTGTAAAGAAAATGAACCGAAATAAAAGCGCAAAATGTGTACGAACGTACATATATAATCATTTATTCAATAATTTGTTTAAAAAATAGAAAATATATATAAATATAGAATGAACTTGCATGATAGTGCTTAAAATTATCCCATATGAGCATTTTCAATTTTTTTTAACACAAAATGTGGCCTTAAAGGGGATTCGAAGCAGCTGAATGAACATTCTACCTCCACAAAAATAATTAAATTCTAATAGTTGCCAAACAATACGAATTTAAAACAAATTATAAAATACGTACGAAAAATTTACAATGTTTTCCAGCGACATGTAAACATTCCCACTACGTAGCCAACAAAGGATCGAACACGGAAACCATACTCCCCATAAATACAACATGCAATCTCTTCGCAGTGGCACCAGCGGCTGGAGAGAGTGCTAGCAATAGAAATTATATTGGCACCGCCAATTGTAGCATGTAACAAATGAAAACGTAAATTGCCAACTACTCACAAGCATGATACTTGTTTCCCAGTGTAACAGTTGCTACGAACATAAACGCATTTGTTTGTAAGAGCCCGCGATTCGGATCAGCGCGGAAAGTCTTTCCTGGAACACGTTAGTTTATATGCCTCTGGAACATTGTTGACGAAGGGATTCTAGAGTTCGAGGGTCGACGATGGCGAGTTTTCGACTCTAGCAAGGTGGCTGGGTCAAATTCAACAACTATGTTGTGGACAATTCTAGCAACCTACAGCTCTGATAGGTTGTTTCCATGGATTCACCTATCAATCCGATGCGAATGCCAGAACAAATCCTAACTAACGGGTCACGGATGGCAGACGATCTTACCTTCCTCCTCCTTGTCCCCGCATCTTCTCGTACTCGCACAGACACACAAATCACGTCGCTACCAAGAATGTTGGAAGACTACTCGGCATGTCCCGGAAATATAAAAAGACAAACAGAGTCAAGTTTACTTCTAGTTAATTAGTAAATAGGTAAATCTGAATCAATAAAAGGAGATACAAAATAAAATCCTGTATGTACCTCGGGCGTTAACTGGTTGTAATGAAGGAGCAACTAACAACCCGAGGTTTTCAAGAATCGAGTGGCCCGAGGCAACGCTACCTAAATAGATTTATGTCTAGGTGGTGTTGCCCGCACACGTTCGATCATTAGCACCCTTAACGCACTTGGAGCATAAATAACTATAGTGCGCTCAGAATGTGTTGCAAATACTACCGAAAAAATAAATATCTTCTATGAGTAAAAATGTGTAATTACAAGAAAATTCGGTCCCTACTTATAAAAAGGCACAATGTGTATTCTACTCGTAGTCTAGCGTGGCATTCAAATGATTAACCACTTTCTCTTGTTGCAAAAGCGCGTTAAGGTCAATTAACAAATAAGGTTAATTATCCATTAAATAATGAACCAAGAAGCTATTAGGATGTATATTGTCGTATTTAGGATAGAGAATTGATTTTTCCGTTCCGAGTTGTATCTTCTGGGCATTATGTGATCCCCTCACCTGTACCGACAGACTGCGGTACGTAAACGGGCACGGGTACGGTACCGATGGGCACCGTACGTAACGGGCAGAGGCCAATGTAAAATATGCTCTATTGTCTACATATAGGGTCTGTTATTGCCAATGTACAACATATTATATTGCTTGGACGTGCGTATTGTTAAAGAATGACACTAACTTTGTCATTAGAAAGCTCCTTATTTTAAGAAATTAAACATCAATTTTAATAGTAAGCAGTTGATTAAATAAGACATACCTTACTTCTAACATTTGTCAGAGAGAATAAAAAATTGTAAATAATCTTCATAAATATAATATCATTCTTCGATAAAATATTCATAATTCATGTTTCAGAATAACTTTCAACATCACATTATTTCTCTCATTAAGATAGATGTTTTTGAAGATGTAAATAATTTTGATACATTTGTGTTTGTTTTTTATCTAAAACAGAAGTTTTTTTTAAGAAAATTGGTAAATTTTGCTCTGAAGCTCTTACTGTACTGCATGCTCTTGCTGTAATAAAAATTATAACTTTTTTTCTGAAACTGTTTCTTAAACAAGTTGACTATGGCAAACTATATAACTAAATCTGTCTACCAATATTACATTTTTTCCTTTCCACAGGGGATGTTAAGGCCTTGCAAGCAGAAAAGAGTGCAGTGGCTATGAAGGATATTAAATGGTACTCGCACAACTCAACAGTTGGATTTTTGGTAGCAGGTGAGTAAACAACTGGTGTATTGTCAACTATTATTCATTTAAGGAGTATTTGAACATATGCAATTTATAATTTGTTTGCAGGAATTTGGAATAACCGATATTACCCAATGACATCTCTTATCATCACAGGAAATAGATCTGCAGCTCATGATTTACTTGTAACAGGTGATGCTGATGGGTATCTAAGGCTATTCAGGTCAGTGACTTCTCTAAACATGCATTCCTCCATTATCAATACAATAAAAGATATATTGAATTACTTGATTTTATTTATAGGTATCCGTGTTTGAGTCCTAAGGCTGAGTACAATGAAGAAAAAGTGTATAGTTTACAAATTGCAGCCGCAAGATTCCTCTTCAATGATAAAAATGTGGTTACTGTGGGAGGCACTGATGCTTCACTTATGTTGTGGGATGTGGTTGATGATTAACAAATCATTTACTGGTAGTTTAAGTTTGCTTCAGATGTGGCTCTGGAAGACAAAGTGCCTGCTTGTTGTTTGCAAATGGGAAAAATCAGACATAACAACAGTGTTAAAAATGTTCCAGTGCAATACTTACTCTTCATGTATGGTGAAGAGATTTGTGATCACAGAAACCCTAGTAGTGAAAAAACATACGGGAATTTCTCAATTTGCAAAGCAACAGAAAATGGATGTTGTGAAAAGTGTGAATGTGGACATCTCTTGTGATAGACTTTTCTATGAAATTTAGTATATTTTATCATAAACTGTTCATATTTCATATCAATCTTTTTTCCATGTGAACTACGAGACTCATGTTTGATAATCACAGCAAATAATTTAATTTAGGACTAGTTATTTCCCCGAAATTATTCAAAAACCCATCAGGGGAGAAATAAAAAATTCTCAGTGGTATTTATGAAATTTAAAAGCAGAAAATGTAAGCAATATTTCACAAATTCTGAAGTTAAGTTTTCTGAACAGAAATTAAAGAAAAGTGCATAAAGCTCTACCCAATCATTCAAATCTTGAAAACTGGACAAAATGTTCCAAAATATTAAATTACTTCTTCCTTATTTTGCTTAATAATAGCCTTAGACTAGTCATTTAGTTATGTCTGATAAACAAGTAGCTGATGTGAAAGTTTATATTTATAATAAAATTAAAAACCCACAGGAAAATAATAAAAATATTTTAAAACTGCCAAGGATGTGTATAAAGAATTTTATGATATTTGAGTGATATTTTAGTACACAACTCTTAAGTGTAAATATTACTTCAAAATTTTTGAATGTTCTCACAGTTACTATACTATGAGATGTACTGTCAAGCTGGTGCAGTTTGATTTGCAAATTCTTAATTACAAAGAATCTACTTAATTTTTTCAAGTAAGTACTGAGGTTTTTTCATGTTCTTTGATTGTACTTCTTGCTTAAGTGCAAAGAGTACGAGAATTGTATTTACACAAAGGCAAAGAATTATAGTAAAAACATCTAAAAATTTGCATTTTTGTTTGGACACAATTTAGCTCTAAGAAAATTTTGTAAAATAATTTTGAAACTTAAAACACATTTTAAAATGTTTCTTGGTATATAAATGTATGCTTTGCATAGATGTAACACCTTTTTAAATTTGTAACATTGTATATTATAGAATGAGCAAGAAACAAAATTTTCCACTCAGGCACAAATAAGAATTAACTGTAATTCAAAATGTTCTCTACCATTCCATGTGTACAAACTTCCAAGCATCAAAATATTTCTGTTCTTGTAATTTATGCATAGTAGTGAACAGTTAAAATTAGATATGTATTATTAATGTATGTGAATTAAACCATTAAAAATGATACTTTGTTATTTCATCCTCTGTATGCTCATCTGTACACACTTCTCTCAAGAGAATGCAATTTCGATCGGAAACATCCTAATGCACCTTTTTTTTTCTTTCATAGAGAAACTAATTTGCATTAATTATTACTTGTTTCTCTACACTTATTTTTAAATTAATTCAGAAGTTTAATAAAATTGAATTCAAAAGAAAAATTGGTAAATATAATTATAAATGAAGGCCTACTTTTTAGATTGATTCAAACATTTCAAAAATTTTGTTAGTATCCTAATGGCATCACAGCATTTCAAATGCATAAGTATTTTCTAATTTGTCATTGTCTTTACTACAATTAAAATTCTCCAAGCTTTGAAAGTAAATTGTAGAACATCTTAATTCCCTGTAATTAAAAATGTTTTGTAACAAAAAACACACAGGTTGAATAAAAATACAAAGCAGGTAACTATGGCAGTGTAGACAGAAATTAAGAATTTTTTCCTGAAAGGTCTAAAAGAGGTTTCAATAGTCTGCCTCAGAATTTAGATAGGTTTTCATTGATCTGAAAATATACGACTCCAATACCAGTTCAAATATTAGTTTTCCTACACACCATCAGTTTTTCTCCACTTGATCTAAATTCAATTGTTTTTAGCATAATGTGATGACTCACAATATTTTTCACTTTATTCCAAATGAGAAAAAAAAGTATAACTTCTTAATAACATGTAGGTCACTAAAGATTGTGGACAAAACAGAACAATTTTCCATCAAGTTTTTTTTTCTTCAGCCATGTTCCTAACCACTTCTAATTTTATCATGGATGAAGTAATCATGTAGTTCATACTACCAGTAACCATAATTTATTTATTTACATTACATTCACAACACATTAATTTTATTAAAATAATAGACCCAATGAATTGTTTCATTACCTTGTCATAAAACAAAGGTACCAAAGGACTTCAAATAACAATATAACAAAGTATTTTTAAAATTTGAAATTAAAAATATAATGAAAACAAAATTTCTTCTAAATTTCTGATATTTATATACCTTCAAAAGGAAAATTAGTTTGATTGCAACTTTCAGTGAAATCATTACTGATACATAAGAATCAATTAAAATGACTAAAAAAAAATTACAGCATTATATTCTGAACCTCAAATACTCTCAAAATATAATAAGGACACTGCTAACTTTCAAGTTCAACTTCAACTGGTATTAAAAGGAATGCGATATGACTTCAATAAAAAATTATAGTTTGTGATAACACGACGTCTTTATCAATACAACATTATACAAACAATTACTGAAAACATACCCATGTTTCATAGATTGCATTGGGTAGTTGGTTTTACAATATATCAACAATAACATAATATGTAACAAGAAATACATCAAGCAAAATAAATTATTTTTTCTAATAAAAAATTGCAAGAGCGGCCATTAGCTATTCATTAATTTGCCACATTGGAAATCCAATTCCATTCAACATGGAATTAATTCCCTTATAGAATAATGCTATACATCATGGAATGCTTTAAAATATTGACCCCTTTCTACAAAATGCAGGAAAAAGTTCAGTACCTGAATGTACGAAGCAAGTGGATAGGGACAGTTGAAATATTAATAACAACGGAAGGAACAAGAAAAATGTTACATTTCTCAAAGAAATAGCAATAGAGTATATTTTCTATCAACACTGTGCAATATAATATACATTTCAGAAGTGGTAGATAAGCTTTAAAATAAGGCAAAAAGAACATTAATTTGTGCTTTCTACTTCGTGATTTAAAACCCTTCCTAGAAGAGTGGGAACATTTACTACAGCTTTACTGTAATACATTATCATACAACGAATCATCTCCAATGTTACAATGTGCATTAAAACATTTAATGCTTTATCTTACATACTTGTACAATGCACTGAAAACATCTGTTTATAAACAAAAAATCATTCTCAGTCTTAAAATTAAAAATACATGTTATCGCACAAAGTGCAACTTAACATAATTCTTATCTTCACAACATTTTACGTATTCCAGTTACTCCAGATTTTGATATAAAGCAGATTAACTGGCCGTGTCATTTGTTTTGTCGACAGAGTCTAGTTGTGAAAGTTCATTTTCTGCTTCCTTTTGTATTTTCTCACCGTTTATTTTACTGTCTAAAGAACCTTCATTCAGAATATCACTCTCTACTGGTGTATTGATCTCTTTACAGGTGTTTTCAATACTTTTTTCGTGGCTCTTTGTAATTTCTTCCTTTATTTCACTTTCTACAACAATTTTTTGATCATTTTCCTCCTTTAACAACAAACTATCTCCTTCAATATCCTCACATTCCATCTTCGATGTGGAATCAGGGGTTTCACTTTCTTTTATGGGCCTCTCTTCCTTCACTGCACATTTTGCTTCTTCAGCCACCTCTTCCCTAGATAACTCAGCGGACCTCCCTCTATCATTCGCTGAAACTTCTTTCATTGGAACGTTATCCATTTTGGTGACTTCCTTACTTGCATTTTCATCAGAAGTCTTACTTCCGGACTCTTCCGAACTGCCAGTTTGCTCTGGAATTTCCATTGCGATGTACACAGGGATCTGCTGGTTCAGTGATGAACCCACCAAAGCAGCAGAGGATGCATTGCCAGTGTCCACTGGAGCAGGTGTAGCACTGCCCGAATCTGTTTCCCTGCTTGAGCCCACTACACTAGTGTACACAGGAACTCGTGTCACATTAGTAGCAGATGTGTAACAAGGTGTATTGTTGGTGCTCATGATAGAGTGCGAAGGAGATTCACCTTTTGTAAAAAGTTGAATCGGCCTCTGAAATCCCCGAGACTGATGAAACGGCAATCCGATCACTTCACACTTGCTGAATCCAACTTCAGATGATAATAGATATTGTGTGAATTTATCTGGCAAGAACTCAATGCTGTTGTAATTCTTAAAAATCGTTTCCTGAAAACAATAAGTGCAATGTAATTTACAGGTTTTAATTAAAAAATAAAAATTAAGAAAAGGATATTTTATTTTTAAAATTTTCAAATAATAAAATATTACTCACAGTAAGTTTCTTCTTTTTCTTGTAAGAATCCCACGCTTGTGCCTCAAGAATCAATTTACCGCCAGGTCTCAATTGAATAAACATGCGTTTAAAGGCTCGTTTTAGACCTGCATCTCCCCAATTTAAGTGGATCCACTTTGTTATGCTTAAAGCAAGTATGACATCAAACTGAGGTTGCTCTGTTTGCAATAATACATCAGATTCCAAAACATAATTACCCTGAAATAAAAGACAATGATAAGTAAAGTTCCATCAAAAAACTTGCGCAACACAAAATTATTTCATTTCTAAACTACCTTTCCTCAGCAGCAAAATATAAACATGTACATTTATTCTTAGAAGAAGCTGGTGTTGAATATTAGATTTGATGTACTATACTTATGTTTCATAATTATAAATTTATCGTATTAAAATTCTCAGCATTTACTTCAGTAATGAAAATAACTCACCTGCACAAATGACACATTATGAGGAAATTTCTTGTGCCCTGATGGACTATCTGATTTTGTGATGCCAGGTATATCGACTGGACCATACAAAATAGGCATTGAAATGGGAAAGAATTTTGCAGAAGCACCCTCATTCGATGGAGAATCAGCATAGTTAACATAGTGCCTAACATTTACACGAGCGATATCCACCAATGAACGATCAATATCCAACCCCACGACACTCTTGGCTCCAAAGTCTCGAGCAATTGTTAGTGTCACATGTCCAATATTGCATCCAATATCCAAAACATCTTTATCATAAAATATTTCTCTCCTCTGTAAAAAGTATTTGAGTCTTGGATCTAATTCATGAGCAGGATTCCTATAACCATAATACCTAAAAAAAAAGAGAAAAATCTTAGATACAATGTAAACAAAATATTATTAAAAATTACTTTAAAAAATGCTAACCTATTGTAGTTGCCGTATTGGAATTTTACATTTTTCTCTTGGAACTTCGGAGTTTGTGCTATGTTAAGACCAGGAATTTTAGGACGGTGTCGTCCTCCTGGTCTAAACCTGTTGAATCTGCCATCACCTGCACCATGTCCCATGTTACCTCCACCTCGATGACCATGTGGCTGCCTTTTCCATGCCCCAGGCTGTGGAATAACAGGACTAACAATTTTATCTTTCAAGTCAAACTTCCTATTTTTCTTTTCATGCTTATTGGCGTCCTTTTCATCCAGTGACTTGCGAAGCTTCTTTTCATCATCTTTCAAAGGCAAATCTAATTCTTTACGAAGATCTCTTACTTCTTTGCCTTTTGGGGCAGACTGATCTTGTGTTTCCAAGGAGGTGACTTCCACATTTGTACTTGTTGGAACTTCTGATTCATTTTCTTCGGGTTTAGTGGATGAAACAGTTTGATCAGTGTTGTTACTAGTTACTGCCACTTCTAAGCTGTCATCTTTGGATGAAGAAGCAGAATTCCTCTTCTTCTTTTTCTTTTTACTTTTTTTCTTTGTAGGTGATACAAGCTGTTCTTCATATTTAGCATCATCATCACAATCAATCAAATTTAAAGGATCATTAATATTTGGAGGAATTATGACTTCCACTTCTCCTCTTCTATGCTTTGGTGTTGGAAGAGGAGATGATTTTGGAGTTACTGCATTCATTGCCCTGAGAAAAATAACATTTAAGCACATCATTAAAATGTATTCAGTAACGTATCATTCTCAATGATAAATGTATAAAACACACAGTATATCAACACTTACAAAAATTATTTAAAACGCCAAAAAATAATAAATATTATTTAATGTTGAAGTAATAATTTAAACACAGTGTAACTGAGTCTAACATACCTGTTGACCTCCTCATCTTGCAGACTGTTGAGATTCAATGGATCAAAAATGTTACCACCCAATAAAAATTTGGTTGGTGGAACTATACTTTCACGTTTTCGCTTTTTATATGGTATAAAGAATTTTCCATTGCCTGCTGTAAAACTTTGAGCTCGTTTCCTTCCAAATTTAAAACGCCCATCATCATGTTTATTTTTCTTTGAAGCAGGTATTCCAGAATTAATTGTAGCTCTCCTCGCATGTTTTTCAGAATCCTGTGACACTGGTTTTACACATGGATCGTGCACTTTTACCGGTCTCTGAACGTCAGTAGAAGACATCTGCGTAATAATAAAAGGTTTTCATTAAACTTCAGGAGTGTTTTCGTAATGTCATTAACAAACGTCATTTGACATATTTAAAAAAAACAACAAAAAAACAGTACAATCTAAAATTCCAAGAAAAAAATCTTAAAATAAATGTCAACTATATAAAGCAATAATAAACACCTCTTCTCTCCATATTTTACTGAAATTAAATAGAAATTGAATTCACTGCATTGCACGTGAGTTTGTATACATCTCCCGACTCCCTCCACTCGCGCATGCGCAGTTGAACGTTTCACATTACGTCCCAGCCAGACTCAGAAAAATAGAACTAGAAACATCACAATTACCGACCTTCCTTAGAAATATAGACATTCAACTTACCTTTAGTAGATTAAACGTGATATTAAGATGATTCTGAAGCTAAAATTGGCATCAAAAACGTCCTACAATAACCACATTTGCAACACACCGTGAGCAGCAGGACGAGGGCACCCTGACAACCAGACTCGACCACCATCCGCCACTCTGCCTGCCACCATCAACGATGCCTTTACGTTTCATGTCCACAGATTCCCCCTCCACGATGCGCGCGAACATTGCGCTATGCGAGCCATCTTGATTTCTACTCGCTCTTGTTTTTGGTAATTCACACATTGTCGAGAGATTTTATTTTACTGTTTCTCAACAACGAAAGTTACAGCAATATTTCAAGAAAGTGTTTACTTGTTCTTTGTAAAATTTGCTAAAAAATACTTAGGTAAGGAAAACATTTATTTGGTTTGCAAACTTTAAATTCAAAACACCCGCGGAAACTGATGATACAAACGCGGTTCAGATGATTTTATTGCAATAGGGTTGAATCATCTTACGTACACAAAATTATGCAATTGCAGTTGCGTTGTACAAACTTTCTCAATATAATTTACAAAAAGGTAATTTTTGTCACTTAAATGCATACTTTTTTATTAGGATATCGATCATAAATGATTTTTGTAAAAAATTTTCTTATATATACATTTCGTTCTTAACATCACGAATTCTATGATTCGAAATGTTATGTTGAAAATCGTTAAATAAATATTTATATTTTATTTAAATATATCTTTGAAAAGCATGAAATTTTAACATAGTATTAATATTTCAATAATGCATTATAATGTTAGTTTTATAATGTCATAAAGAGAAACTAAGTGCAAATACAGCTTATAATAAAAATTTACTCTTACAACTAGTTTGGTTTATTTTATTACATTTGTATGTTTATGAATTCTGCCATAAAATTGTTCAAATTTAAATCATTAGATAGTATGTACTTGGCAATAAAATTTAAAAAACTTAAAGAAACAAATTAAAAAACAATTTGAAACTAAAAGATAATCTCCACAAGTTGATATTACAAAAGTAGTGTGGGGGTAACAGACAGTTTCAATGCTGATGACATTAAGATTTTAATACCAGTATAATTTGTACAGTCCTCAATGTTTTGTATATTTATTACTTGTAATTGTGTATTTTTCTTATATTTCTTTAATCACAATTTAATTAATTTTTTATTGTATAATATGTAGGCTGTCCAACTTAATTATTCAAGAAAGAAGTTTCTTCTAGAAAATAAGTGGCAATAGGTACATAAATTTTACTATACAATTTTGTTGGAAATCTAATATTCTTTATTTTATTTCCTGAAGTGACTGAACATTGTTTTATGTTTATAAATTTAATAATTTATAATTCAAAACAATCAATTCAGGAAAAATATTGTATATTCAATAATGTTTTATCAAAAATTATAAACAATATTTTAACACTCTTGTCTTCTTTTTCCTCTAATATCAGAAACATAATATTTATTATATGAATTTACCCCACCTATTCATTGAAAACATTTGAAATTCTGTAGAGGAAAATTTTCTTACTACTAATTGTATTTCTAAATTATTATATTTTATTTTAATTTGTTTAATATGTTTTCTAACTTTGGTATAGAACATTTCTAAATCAAACTTGCTATATATTTACAAAAGATTAATTAGTCTCCTTAAAGAGAATTTATAGTTTTATCAAAAGATTTATACAAAGTAGCTTAAGTAAAAATTGGATTTGTCCTTGATGATTTCATAATTAAGGTGTAAATATTTAATTATTTACTGTTTATCAAAGATCAGTAGATATTTCTGTATGTGGGAGCAATAGGCACAGTTCAGATTGATCAGAAAAAGAATATTAGTGAGTCAATTTTGTATTATATCACAATATGATTATTTGATTCTAATATTAAAACCATTAATATTCTTAATTTAGAAGCTTGTGAGACATTTTCGAATAATTTTTCTAGAAACCTTTAATTAGAACTACACCTATTTTAATGTCTTCTGAGCTTTTTATTGTATAAACATCTGACCACATTCATTAAAACAATTTTCATCAAATATTTAAGCTTGAATAAGTAACATGAAACACAATAGTTACTATCCTTTTAAATTTATTAATTACATGGATAGATATCTGTTTGCTTTATGTGATTCCCACATCAAAGCTGAAAAACCTTGTTTCTAATTTACCCTAGTAATATCAACCTTTGTTCATTCAAATACAGTAACTTCCAAAATATATCACCCAAAACATACAGGTAATTGCCTCAATTATACCTTCATTATAATTAGAGTCTGGAAGTTTGGCAAAATGCCTTTTTATTATTGTTACTATTTCGCAACTTTTAACAATAGAAATCACTTAATTGCACTTCTGAGGTTATTTTAGTACATTTTATTTTCCCTATTTTTGCCATTATGTCTTATTTTTGCCTTTTTCTGTCTATTATGTCTTTATTATGCTTTTTTCTCCTGATACCAATCTCAATCAAGCTGAATATACCTGTAAGTCTAGACAACATGAAGGCACAGTCTGGTTTTGTCTTTCTATGGAAGCAGAGGCTAATTAAAAATCTCAGTGAAAAAGAATGTCAAGATTTCTAATGTAAAATTAATTGGTCTACTTGTAATAATCTACATGAAAAATGTCAAGGTATTTTATTTTATTTTTTCATTGATGCAGCCAGACTTTGTTTGCTCCGAAGGAATCCCATCTTCCTTTTGAGTATGACTTGAAATCCCTTTCAGGACAGCTCTCTGAGTATGATTTAGCCTTCTACTGGAATTATGCAGAGCAAAGAATAAAAAATATAATTCCATTTTGACTGATGCCTCTTCAACATTCAAAAGAGAGTCCACAATATAATTTCAAAGAGACTGCATCGTGAATAAAACAAATTTATAGCCGCCCTACCGACTGGTATGTGGAATTAAGATTGCAGAAAAGATAATCATATACATTAATTTTAGAGTTAGAATAAAGTGCGAATCATTTTAATTATTAATTTTTTACTATAATTCCTTTTAAATCTAATATTTCATGATTTATATTCCTTTTAGCATCGTCACTGTAGCTAGATTAAATGCCTTTTTTATCCTTATTTTAGAAGAATGAATGCCTGCCTCTTGTCTCTATATATGTAAGCCTTTAACATAAAAATAAAAGCCTTTTTGCCTACCTATTGTACTGTCTGGACTTCTGGACTCTAATTATAATAAATCAATGAACTTTGTTGCTCATTCTTTATATCAAACAATTAACTTTTAAATGTTCACATTCAGGTAAAATGTGTAATGCACAGCAATATTTTGTCAAAAGTTCAGAGATGCATATGATCTGTAATTCTATTTAATTTCAAAATTTGTTTTGAAGACCGGTTTCTTATTCTTTATCAAGAGCTAAGCACCTCCCATTTGGTTATAATTCCATCTACAGATATGGTTGAAGATAGGGCTTCATTAATATTTAAAGGGGCTCCCTAAAAACATTTACGTTGGTACATACCATGTATTTAAAATTAATATGAAAAAAACTATAACCCTTACCACTTTAAACATTAACATTAAAATATTTTTAATCTTATGAAATAATATAAAACTTTGTATAAAATGTTAATGGGGGACCCTTAATGTATGTTTAGTCTGCTTTTGTATTAATTACTCATGGTTGAGGGATCATTTTATAGTATGAGACTGATCTCTAATTGGGTCCCCAACCTCTATTGTTTGCCAGTAGGCTGGGATGCTCTCCTAACATTTAGTACTAATTACAAAGACACCAGATCACATAGAAAAGTGGTTGAGTTGCTAAAGAATAAGCAACCATTTGAAAACTTGGGAAAAGGTTCCATTGCTATGCAGAACATCTACCATGACAAATTTTTTAATCTAGTTTGTCATATTTAAAACTTAATGAAGCTCAACATTTCACTTGTGGTTATGGAAATACACATAATTTTATGTGCCTAAAATAAAATTATCTTTCAAAGAAGTTCATTTATTATTTTTTTATTAACATTTCAAAAAATACACATTTATTATAATTATTAGCTCTTCTTACATTTATTATAATAAGTCTGAATTAAATATTTCTGCTAAATGAATGTCTTGAAATGTTAATGGCCCAATCTTTGAGAAACACACTGAATTGGGACATTTTTTTTCTACATCATTATTAATCTTTCAACATTTTTCCCCAGGTACCTAATCATTGATGAAAATAGTTTCTAGCCATTATTAAAAATGTCCATAGAAATTTCCATTACCAAATTAATGCAATTCACTTTCTTATAATTTTTTGTAGTAAAAATAGATTGAAACAAAAGTATGGTACAATTCTGTTAAAGGACATACCTAATTAATTAAGATTAGCATATGCATTCATTAGCATAACATACAACACAAACACATTCAGTTTTTAACTTGTTTTCTAACATTAAATAACAAAATAAACATGTCTGAAAATCTTCAGGGGTTTGAACTCTACTTAAAAAAGTTATATAGATTCTAATTAAGTTAACAAGTTTTGCTAGTGGGATCAGCTTACAGCTAATATAAGAAATAGAAGTATGATTTTCTATGGAAATGAGTAGCAGTCATAATTTTCTTTTCCTTTTCTATATATAATGGAAGTAATATCAAAGAAGAAATGAATTTATTGGAATATGAAGTCAAGAATGTCGTAACAAAAATCGTCATATCACCTGAAGATTGCCAATCCTTATTTGTGAAAAAAATCATTGTCAATTTCATGTAAATTTGCAATTTTCAGGATTTAGAAATATTTTAGATGCAGAAATCTAGTTAGAAATGCAACTCTTGTGAATGACAAGAAAATCCACTTCTGAATTTTACGTATTTATGAATGCAAAAATGCTTTGTATAAATCTGTAAATGTAAAAAGAAAACAAAATACATTCATCTGACTGCATCAGCTACTGCTGACCATTAATGAATTATTCTGTGATTTGTATACTTAAAATAAAATGAAAGACAGTAAGGCTGTTTAAAAATAGTGTAAGAAACACATTGTAGAATTGATTTTATTTTTCTTGGAGGTTTTTTCTCAGTCTGTTGGGCCTTGTTGCAACTTTTCCTACTTGCAAAATAAAATGACCTTTTCACCATTCATATCTTTCATACCATCATCAAGTATTTAGTGTAAATGTTTTTGTCTTAAAGTGTTTTTTGTTTGTTCATCAATTTTTGTTATCAATGAAGGGATTGATTTTTCATGATTTTTTTAAATTTG